GAAGAACAAAGAAGGAAGAAAATGCAAGAAAGAAAGGCGGAGCGAAACCTGGCTCAAGGTGTTCGTGAGGATCTTTTTCGGGAAAGAGATTCTCTCCATCTCCGGAGACAGGCGGGTCAGATTTCGGCTCCCACCCGTGAACGGGGTTCAGGCTCTCACCACCAAGAGGAGTCTTGCCTCCCTCCGCTGCCATCAAAAGAGGATAGATCTATAGTGCTGAAAGAAGATCGCGATTTTAGAGGCTCCGATGGTCGACGAGTGGAGGACCGAAGAAGCGAGAGTGTCTGGAATCGCATGGAGCGTCCAAGAGATTACCGTTCGGAGGCCCGGAGATATGAGAGACGGTCCGAACCTGAGGAGGAATCCATCCCTCGCCAAAAAGGCCCTCCTGCCCGAAATGACAACCTATATCGAAAGAGGAGGTATGAAGAATCGTTCGCTGCAAGCAAAAGGAAGGGTGAGAAGAACAAGGAGAGGGAGGCAGTACCTTCTAAGGATCGGAGTGGTGTGAACAAATCGGTGAACCTTCCACCAATCCAGACTCAATCCTTCGATTCCCAAAAGACTGTCTCAGATCCAATCTTGCACCCTGCGTCGGGGAAAGCAAAACAAGGAAACGTTTCCCCTGAACACCTCCGAAGCAGGCCTTTTTGCCTTAATCTTCTTTGAAAAACTTCGGATCTGAAGAAGGGAAAGTGCGACGAGATCGGGGAATCTTCGGAAGCCGGAAGCTCTGCTAAGAAGTCGCTTTCCTTCGATCCAATTCATCCAACTGAAGCTGCTTCCAACCCCTCTTTGGACCATACTCCAAGCCAAACTGTTAGCCTCATTCCAGCTCAACCTCTGTCTACCAAAAGCTGGTATGAACAAACTTTGGAAGAAGAAGAAAACGATGATGCTGATCCAATGGAGGAAGACCTTCCCCCTCCTGCTGTGAGAGTGGCTCCTTCTGTAGCTAGTGAAGACGATGAATCAGAATTTCAGAGGAGTCTCAAAATTGCTGAGGACGCGCTTATGGAGGATGAAACTCAAGGGGATCCTGACTTTCTGGTCACAACTGATTCTGTCGAAGGAATTGGAGACGATGACGAATGGCTGGACGACACTGACTTGAACGACGAAGGAGAGCTGGATGAGCTTCTGAAGGGGGATGATTTGTTGGGAGAAGATCTTGGGCTCGAGGTTCAGGGGGCGATCGCGACGAACTCAGGAGCTCAAATTGAAGAGGTTCCGACAAAACAGAAGGCATCCTGGTGGAGAAGCCCTCCTAAGGCGGAGGAGGATCAAGGTGCTGCATTTGTCGCCGGAAAGTCCGCTCGGAATACCGGAAAGAAGCATCGGATTCCAAAATCGCCGGCCAACTTAGGCATATCGCTGAAAAAGAGAAGTATTGCTTTGGGCCGTTTATCCCCAAAATCCAAGAACAAGGGAAAGACACCTGGGCCAGGACCAAGCCCAAAGGAGGCAAATGTTGAAAAAGCCAAGGAAGAGAAAATCTCAAAGGGGGCCAAAGCTAAAGGCCCATCATCATCTTCTGGTTTGGGAGGAGCTTATAAACCAGCAAATCAGGCCAAATGAATGTCATAGGATGGAACTGTCAGGGTGTGGGAGCCGACCTGACGAAGGATCATCTAGAAGAGCTCCACAAATGTTTTTTTCCCCGTTTTTTATTTTTATCTGAAACCAAAAACAATCGGAACTTTATGCAAGATATGCAAATGTATTTTGGGTATGACCATGTTTTTACCGTTGAACCGAGAGGTAGAAGCGGCGGTCTTGCCCTTTTTTATATGGATGAACCTTCGGTTTTTATCTCTTACTCTGATGAACATTTAATAGATGTTGAAACAAGTCTAGACGGGCATAAGATTTTTATGTCCTTTGTCTATGGGGATCCAGTTATTAAAAACCGAGAGAACGTATGGGAGCGATTAACAAGAATGAGTCTAAACAGGAAAGAAGCCTGGTTTATGATAGGAGATTTCAACGAAATAACTGGAAATCATGAAAAACGGGGAGGACGAAGAAGACCTGAAATCTCCTTTATTCCATTTCGGACTATGATCGACAATTGTGGGATGTTAGACTTCCCATATAAAGGAAACTCCTTTTCTTGGGTGGGAAGAAGACGCTCAGGCAAGGTCAAATGTCGTGTGGATAGAGCTATGGGAAATGAAGAATGGCTTTCAAGATTTCCCCATACTTCAGTGGAGTATATGAAACTATGGGGGTCGGATCATCGACCGGTCTTAGCAATGATCAAATTGAATAACAGGAAAAAGAGGAAATCTTTTTGTTTTGATAAAAGATGGATTGGGAAACCAGGTTTTAAAGAGGCAGTTGTCTCCTGGTGGGGCCCCTTTGATGTAAACCCACGCCGAGATTTCCACCAAAGGGTTGCACATTGCCGGAAAAAAATCTCCTTGTGGAAGAAATCTCTACCAACTAACTCAGAAAAAATGATTGAAGAATTAAAAAACGAACTCGATAGGGCGAACGATGATGATAATACCACTCTAGAAGAAATAGAAGAAATCAGAAGGAAACTTTGTGCAGCTCTCCGTGAGGAAGAAATTTTTTGGCAACAAAAAAGCCGCGAAAAATGGCACAAATATAGAGACAAGAACACAAAATTCTTCCATGCTCTTACCAAACAAAGGAGAGCTCGGAACCGCATCGTCTCCCTGAGAGACAGTAACGGACATTGGGTGGATAATGAGAGAGGTATAGAACGGGTGGCCATTCATTACTTCCAAGATATCTTCTCCACGTCTCAACCTTTGGACCCGGAAGGTTCACTCCGGTTTATTACCGAGAAAGTATCGGCCAACTCAAACCAACTACTTCTGACGGAACCAACGGAAGCAGAGATTAGAGAAGCTCTTTTTGACATTAACCCAGACAAAGCTCCTGGGCCTGATGGAATGACAAGCAAATTCTACCAAAAATTCTGGCCTTATATTCGCCAAGATATAATCAAACTGGTTAAAGATTTTTTCGCTTCAGGATCGTTTGATCCTAGACTTAACCAAACCAATATCTGTCTGATCCCGAAGAAAAACAAACCAAGAGCAATGTCGGAATTTTGTCCGATCAGTCTTTGCAATGTGAGTTATAAGATTATATGTAAACTCATGTGCAAGAGATTAAAACGAACTCTCCCGAGCCTTATCTCGGAAACGCAATCGGCCTTCATGGCTAGACGGCTGATAACTGACAATATTCTGTTAGCACAAGAAAACTTCCATGCTCTTCGAACTAACACAACATGCAGAGAAGAATTCATGTCCATAAAGACCGACATGAGCAAAGCATACGACCGGGTAGAATGGGGTTTCATGGAGGCACTGCTACTTAAGCTAGGATATTCCGAGAGATGGGTCCGTCTCCTTATGTTCTGTATTTCCTCAGTATCATACCAGATCCTTATTAATGGCGAACCCAGGGGAAATATTAAGCCTTCGAGAGGCCTCCGTCAAGGAGACCCCCTCTCACCCTTCTTATTCATCCTATGCACGGAAGCACTCATATCTCTGCTCAAGGGAGCAGAAGAAGAAAAACGTATATCTGGGTTGAAAATAGCTCAAGCAAGCCCCCCTGTATCCCATCTGCTTTTCGCTGATGATAGCCTTTTCTTCTGTCGAGCAGATATCCAACAGGGAATTGAGATCTTCAAGATTATTAACTCATATGGATCGGCAACGGGACAACAACTCAATCTAGGCAAATCTTCCATTATGTTCGGAAATCGAGTGGATCCGACGGTAAAACAAGGTATAAAGAATGCCATTGGTATAACCGCAGAGGGTGGCATGGGTATGTATCTGGGTCTCCCAGAACAAATCTGTGGATCAAAGAGAAAGGTGTTCTCTTTCGTTCATGATCGCCTAAGTAACTGTGTCAATAATTGGTCTGCAAGACTTCTTTCCAAAGGTGGAAAAGAAATTCAAATAAAATCAGTGGCTCAAGCTGTACCTACCTATGTCATGTCATGCTTCCTATTACCCCAAGGGAGTGACTGACAAGCTACGGAGTGTCATTGCAAATTTCTGGTGGAGCTCAAAACAGAATAGCGGCGGGATTCACTGGATTGCCTGGGATAAGATTTCCAGACCCCAAGATTTGGGGGGGCTAGGCTTTAGAGACCTTCAAGATTTTAATTTAGCTCTCCTATCTAAGCAGCTATGGCGACTTATCCAGTACCCCTCTTCCCTCTTGGCCCGGGTGTTAAGAGGCAGATATTACAGACAATCTGATCCATTGGAGGATCGAAAGGTCTACTCACCTTCTTATGGATGGCGGAGCATTATGGCTGCGAAACCGCTCCTCAAAATAGGTCTCAGGAAGACTATTGGATCGGGTCTGAATACGAGAGTCTGGAGCGAACCGTGGATTCCAGACACTAGAGCTCGGCCACCTAGAGCCTCCCTGCAGATCGGGTTTCAAGACCCAGGATTATTGGTTTACTCCTTCATACGCCAAGATACGAAACAATGGAATATCCCCCTTTTACATGAATTCTTCCAACCTGAGGATGTCTCCCTCATTCTCGGGTTGAGACCTAGCCAAAATCGTATGTTGGATGGATATGCATGGAATCATTCCAAATCAGGAATCTACTCAGCTAAATCGGGGTATGACCTAATTAGAAGGACAAAACTAGAACAGGAAGCCGTTGGTGTTAGAGAGCCAAGTATCACACCACTGCTAAGATATGTATGGAAAATCCGCGCCCCGGAAAAATGAAACATTTGTTATGGCAATCACTATCCGGATGTGTGGCCACTTGTCAGAACCTAACCTTCAGACACCTGGGATCGGACTCGCGGTGCCCTCGTTGCGGGGACCCTGAAGAGTCCATAAACCATCTCCTGTTTTTATGTCCCCCGGCCTTACAAGTCTGGGCGTTATCGGACTTCCCGTCCCTTCCGGGCTTCTTCCCGAGTACCTCTATTTACCAGAATATGAGCTTTCTCTTTTGGAAAACAAAAGAGTTAGGCATGACAGATCCACACAAGGATTTATATCCGTGGATCCTCTGGTACATTTGGAAAGCCAGAAACGACAAGATTTTCAACGGGAAAGAAATTTCCTCGGAAGATACCTTGATTCATGCTAGAGTGGAAGCGGAAAGCTGGAGAATCGCTAACCGATCAGAAGAAGACGACGTGGAGTTTGAAAGCTGTGTTCCCCAATCCTCCCCACCGAGACACCCTACCGAGTTCTGGCGCTCTCCGTTATGCCGTGTTGATGCCTCCTGGATCGATCACGGTTCGGTGAGCGGACTCGGTTGGTGTTTCTTGGATGGCATCGGAAATGAGACAGTAGAAGCCCAGGGATGTCGAAGAAGCCTTTCCGCTCTTCACGCCGAGATGGATTGCTTCCTTTGGGCTATGTCTAGCCTGAGAGAAAGAGGAAATCTTTCGGTTCACTTTCAATCCGACTGTTTGGATCTTGTGAGCATGGTTGGTTTACCAGCAGATTGACCGTCTTTTCAAACTGAGTTGGAATCCTTCAGTATCCTCCGGGAGAGCTATTTAGACTTCACCTTATCATATATCCCCAGATATCAAAATGTCCGGGCGGATAGTCTTGCGAAAGGAGCCCGTGACAGAGGCCTTATTTTTTCCCAAATCATTCATACCGAGCTAGTCGACGATGGTTCTCGGATCATTGCCTCGACTGGTCACATGTGATGTATTAATTGGGTAAAGGGAAAAAAAAAAAAATCAAAACCTAATAATAGATCCACATATTCTATGAGAATAAAGAGTAAACAATAACTCTTATATATTTATAATACAACTTTTTCTTTTCATTTGACTTGATCTATATAGGACAAATAATAATACATACTTCTTTTAAAAGAAATTGTAAAATTTTATTATTTCCTTAAAAATATTGATTTTTGGATTGTCCTAAATCCTTGCTTCATGTCCCCTGAATATTTTTATCATAATTTACTCGATCGCATGATAGAAGGTGGAAGTCCCACCGTGGGAAGGCAACAAATATTTAATTAAAAGCAATTTGGACATTAATTTCTTATTATTATAACAACTATAATCGACAGAATCAAATAAAACTAAGTTTATTATTATACCGCTACGTGCGAATTAAATATTAGGTGAATTCGTCGGAAAAAAAAGATTAGGTGAATTAATGGAATTTTTGTTGTGAACTATTTATACGTTTATGACTAATCAAGAGTAAATAATACGTTTATTTATAATGCAACTTTTCAACTCCATAAATAGTGTAAAAACAAGAAAAATAAATTAAAATTTTATAAATATTTCAACTCCATAAATAATTTATAAAAAATATAAAAAAACATAATAAAACAAATATATTATTATTGAAATATGGTCTTTTTTTATATTTTTCCTACAAAATCGTTTATTAAATTCTCATTGTCGATTTTTTCAACCATATAGCTATTTCAATAGATAACAAAGCTAGTCCATTTAATCGCTCTTGGTAGATCGCAAATATTTTTTTATCAGTTTTAATTTTGAAAAACTTCTTTCAGCATTATCAACTGATACCGAAATTGTCAACAATATACGATATGAAACTTCTATGTTTTGATAACAATCCTCCATTTGTTTTAAGAAAATCAAGCACTTCATTAAGCTTCTCAACTTTATCTGGTATTAATTCTTAGAAAATTTTTAATTCTATAAATAGATCATCACCAACTATGTCTGCATACCATTTGTTAAAGAAACCTTTGAATCTGCATTTTTTATTTTCTTTCTAAAAGATAATTTGTTGCCCTTAACCAATATTATTTTTTAGAGAAAAGTCCATAAATATTACCAAAAATTTATAAATATTATTATCTTATAAAAGATCTTTTTATATTTTTTTATTTATATATACTCTTTATAAAAAAATTAACCAAAATATGCCTTTATAAATTGGATGCTCTAATCTATCGCTTATCTCGCCTATGCTCTATGCTCTGGCCAGTCATGTATGTAAAATAAATTGTTTATGATGTATGTAAAATAAATTGTTTATAGTGTAATAAAAATTAATTGTACAAGTAATTATAATTTTAACTATTTTTATAGGATCGACATATTATTTTTTACATAAAATATGAAAAGAGAAAATTTATATTTTCCTTTTGTCCCCCGCTAACGTCTCGACTTTCGATTAACGTGAGACCAACTTTATTTTTATATATTATAAAAGAGAAAAGGAAATTGTTAGTAATTGTCCCAAAAATAAAATTATTAAAAGACAACAAAGAGAGTAGCTACGAAACAGCATTTTGCCATCGAAGACACGCTATAACAAATCGTGTATAAAAAAAAACCTCTTTCATTTCATCTTCCTCCACCATCTGAAGTAATCTTCCATTTACATTTGTGCCCTTCCCCATACAATCTCTCTCATTTTCCTCCTAACATTTTCATTTTCTCCAGAAAAAAATATTCATCCTCTCATCTTCCTCTTCAGATCTCATTTCCTCCTTCTCGAATCTAATTCTCTGAAAGCCATGGGAGGAGTTTCTCTTCTTCATCCTCGTGATATTCTCTCCAGAAACAGCCTTACCCCGCCTCACCGGCAAAAAAATCCAGTACCCAATCGCCGTCGCCGGAGTCCGCCACGTCATCAAGCGGCGATCTCTCCTCCTCGGTCTCCTCCCGTCTCTACTGTTATCCCAAAGGGATCAAAGAAGAAGAATCTCAACCATGTCAGAATTTTAAAGCGCGGTGAGGAAATCGGCAAGGAGATACCAGATCTGCCGATTGAGAATCCAGATCTGAATACTACTCGTCAGATCAGATCAGATCCGGTGAAGATTTCGACTCGGATCCGAAATTCCGATAGGGAATCGATGCCGGCGTTGTTTTACGCCGGTCCAGTCACGTCCACCTCTCCGCCGCCGAGTGAAGTTCCCTTGCCGGCGTTTTTCTCGAAAAAAACCGTCGTCTCCGTGTTCAAACCCTCCGATGCAACCAACGATCTGATCAGATTGCTGCGAATCGATGTTTCATGATTCACATGAATTCAGATCACACTTTACCGTTATCCGATCGTCGGAATTTCATTCCAAACCTTCTCGAATCTTTTCGAAGGTGCCGAGACATCTTCTTCGTTATGAAACGTTTTCGAATCTTCTCTTATTTTTTCAAGGGGAAAGATCGAAATATCTTCTTTCACAAGCCTTTAGTGTCTCATTTTTAGGGTTTTTTTTCTCGGTCTCAATTTTACGGTTAATCTGTACTTAAGGAGTGTATTTGTGTATTAATTATTTTCGTATTTTGAGTAAATTATATCTGTTTAGTGTTTATTTAGGATACTCTAAGTGGAGATGTATTTTACTACGGGTAAGTTGTATCGATGTAATCTCCAAAGTATTTTCTTCTTCTTTGTACTTTTTTTTTAATCTTATCGAAAATAACTTTCATTTAGAAATTAAAATTTAAAATATGATCTTCAATAGAATCATAGAAACTTGTTTTTTTTAACAAGGGTTTTCATATTTAAAATAAGAGAAATAAGAGTTTTACAAGCGGAGCAAATGCCCAGAATAAGAAACCAGCTAAAATCTAAAATAGGACATAAAGAAACAAATCCCATGAATCAGAGAATGAGGTCCAAACACTACAACAAAACATTAGGACAATATTTCAACCATATTCATACGCAAATACTTCAAAAAAACAACAAAACATTAGGATAATATTTCAACCATATTCCTACGCAAATACTTCGAAAAAAGAGAAATTATGGGAAATTGGTAAAAATTTACCTACAAAAATAAAACATCAAAAAACTGGTAGGAAATTTCTTTCCAATATCCTACCAAATTCAACTTCGTAAGAAATATAGTCTGATTTTGGTATCTATGTGGTAGGTTAATTAATGACAATTAAATTTGTGAATATTTCGTCGGAATTTTACTATGCATTTCTTCATTTCTGATGAAATATTTTTTGTAGGATAATTCGTAGGAAATCTGAAAGAATATATCCTCATCGTATTTTTGTAGGAATATGGTCAACGAATTTACATTCTATTTAGTAATGTTAAATCTTATTTTTATACATTTATTTTTTTCTATTTCTCTGTAAAACACAATAACACTATTTTCTTCATGAAAATATCATGAAAATTAATTTACTTACTCATTTCCTATCATAATCCTATCAAATTCATTAAACCAAATTAATATTATTTTTGAAATTATATAAATATATTAAAAAATATATATATCATACCGAATACCTACGATTTTTCTACCAAATCCCAAACCCTAATATTATAACACGAGAATCGTTAAGTGTCTAGTTATTTGATCGACTACACAGCCGCTAAGTCTATCTTTTTCCTTTTTAAATCTCTCTGCAAATCCTTCTCTTCTAGCTCGTTTCTCCTAATCTCTTGTCTGTTTCTTTATGGCTTCACACTGAAAACCGCTCATGCTTCAAAATCAAAACGGAATCCACCGTTTTAGAGTTTGCCTCAAACCTAGGAGGTACACATTGGGTTACTCCCACTCTTTGATGTTTCTAAGTTCTCTGGTGTATTTAATTTTTAGCTAATCGATTTTTTGTTTTGCTGAGCTCTGGAGATGGTGGCTAATCAAAAGGATGGTGGTTAATCGATTTTTTGTTTTGCTGAGCTCTGGAGATGGTGGCTAATCAAAAGGATGGTGGCTAATTGATTTTTTGTTTTGCTGAGCTCTGGAGATGTTGAAGGATGGCGGCGGTGGAGCAAGGAAGAGGAAGATGGTTTTGGTTTTGTTTAGGGTTTATTAATTGGTTTGGTTTAAGTTTTTTTCGGTTCGATATTTTTGTAAACCAGTTTTTATTCCCGGTTTAAGATTTTTAATATAATATAATTTTTAAAACAAAAGTAGCATTTATAATTAATATTAATTAGTTAATATCAAAATAATTTTCGAAATTAATTTAACTAATATTTTATTATTAAATGGTGAAAATAATTCGTAGGAAATAGGAGGGTAAAATATCGTAGAAAAATTAATCGCAGGATATTGGTAGGATTTTGGTCATACATTAACGACAAAATTCCTACCAAAATGTTCGTAGTGAATTTCCTACGGTATTTTTCGTAAGAAATTTCTTACCATTTATCTACCATTTAAAATTTCCGACGGCCGATTTTCTATAACTTATTTTCGTAGAAATTGGATAAAAATTGGCTGTTTCCTACGCTTTAACTACGATATTTGCCGTAAGATTTTGGCCTGCATTCTTGTAGTGAAAGCTCGGAAGGAGTGTAGCTGAAACGTCTTTAATGGTGGTTGGTGAAATCGTAAAGAAAGATAGCTCATCAGTGCCATAGAGAAAGATTGCAATGGAGATCTTCACAGTGCTGTCGAGATCCAGAGTTGATACATGGAAGAGGCACGAGTAGGGTTGGTAGCTCGGTAACTCGTTGCCTTGTTGCGGATGTAAGAGTTGTTCAGTTGGATTAGAGCATCAGATGATCGGAAAGTTTGGCGATGTATCCTATAATTTTGTTCAGTCCAGATAAGGTATAGGCTGCTATGCCAAGCGAGGAGAGTCAGCCACTTCTTATGGCGACAACCATGCATGGATAGTAGGTCAGCCATAGTAATATTCTATGAGCGATTTATTGTGAGACCACATCTGCCTCTAATTAACTGCCATACACTCCAGATGTACGAGCAATCAAAGAAAAGATGGTTTCTACTCTCAATCAGACCATTACACAGGACGCAGCGAGTGTCTATCGGGAGGCCCCAACTTTGCATACGATCTTTGGTTGGGCAACGGTTTAACAAAAATAATCGGGTCAGAAGCTTGTGTTTTGGGTCCCTTCAACATTGATGTGCTACGAGGTGAGAGAACACGTTTTACCTTTAATAAAAACAAATGAAAGCCGCAAATGCACAACTAATCAGTTATAGTACTTAGAGATTGAATCCACAGGGATTTGTGTGCCTAATATTTTTCTACAGTTTCTAAATTTATGTCTAGACTAAATCGGTTTTAGGGGCTGGTTGTTTGTCATGGATTATACTAAAACTAAAGAGAGCAAATGAATCTATCCTAAAGAGCAAGTAGAAAATCGAACTAAGGCAAATAAAATGCAGATCTAAAAGAGCAAGTAAATATCGATTAGTTTGTAAACTATGACTAAAAACGCTTAATTTTCGGGAACTCTACAAGGATCATAATCGGTTTCAACATTAGAGATTTTAGATTGGGATTGACGGATATCGATATATTAGGATTCTAGAGATAGAGTTCGGCGGTATGACTATGTCACCGTCATGATCATAACCAACTATTTATCGTAACCCTGATCAGTAGGTTTTCACTATGGCCGTGGAGGGGAGAAAACACAAGAGCTGCACAAGACTCATCAGTACTCACGATTTTGCCGCAGGTAGGTTTCCATTCCTACGGAAAAATCGCTTGTTTCATTCTAGGTCGGATACTTAATGAACACTAACTATCTAGATCAGATACGAGATGATCAATCAAGCATACATGCATCAAAGATGAGAATAAACAGAGAACATAGTTAAAATCCCAGATCTAAAAACTTAGATGTCTCAATCGATTATGAGAGCCCCTTTTGGGAACCCTAAGCCCAACTCGGGATCTACTCAGCCATGGCTGAGGTCGACATCATCATTGGTTTTAGTGAAAACAATCAAAAACATCAAAGAAAGAGATGAAAGAAAGCTTCTCTATTGATGAACTCAGAGTTGAATTATCTTCTCTAAAAATCGCATAAAACGGCTGAGGAAAAGGGTTTTTGTAAAAGTATTAAAGGTGATGTCTAAAAACGACTTAAATGACAAGTATTTATAGTCTTCAATACTCCAAGGTCTCTAGGGTTCCGGAATAGAGGCTGGGAAATGACTTGGGCTTCAGAAATGGGCTTTTTAGGTCGGAGATGTCTGGCTGCGGTCGCATGGGCTGCGACCGTGGGGAATGAAGGCTTGGCTGCGGTCGCGTGGCTTGCTGGCCGTCTTCAAGTGTCTCCGAGGAAAATAGAATATCTTGAGATCCAACCGTTGGAATGTCTCCAAACCAAGTGCATGTGAAAGCTGGTTGAGTCTTCTATTAGTTGTCCAATTTTGAGGGTGATCAGACGGTGAGAAGGTCTTCGTCTCTCCATGAGAGTTCTGACGGTTTGCATTTATCCAAAAGAGTCTTTTTGTTCTAATTTGCACCTCTTTATCTCAAATTAACTGAAAAGTCTTTGAAAATCCAAAAACATAGAAATCCTTTGAAAACCTTTGAAATGGAGTAAAAATACCTGCAAAAAATATCAAAGTGATCCATAAAAATGGTCAAAATCTGGTGTTATCAACTTTTCCAGACTTAGACTTTTGTTTGTCCTCAAACAAAACAAAGACCAAATCTCGGTGAGAGGTTTGAAAACGCAGGAACTAACAAAATCTCAGAGACCAAACTTCTAGACTTATATCAATCATTATGCATTAATCAGGGATAGCCTAGAAAATTCTCACTAAAAATACGGGCATAACTAGTCTGTTAATCCGTCATGCGAAAATCTATTGCACTTAGATTTAACTTCCAGTCAACTAGCTCTTAACATTCATTTATAATTTCGGTGGTTGTCATCAAAGAAAGTATAAGCAAGGCGATCTAGGCTAGGTATCAAAAAGAGGTCATTTTAGGGGTAAGGGTTAAAGTGTTTATGGGTTACCTGAAGTTCTCGAGGATGCAAGATATTATGCAAAACCGCAAGAGAGAGTGAAACTGTTGATATCCACAGTTTCCAGTCACTTTCTTCTTACCATAAATTTCTGGTCTTCGTCCTCAGGTTCTCCCCTAACTCCCCCAGATTTAGATTTTTGTTTATGTTTCAAAACTATAGCTCCTTAGATGAATAGTGGTTGCCTTTGCTCAAATAATTTTGACAATCTAAAACTCATTAGGCTTTTTGTTTTCTTTCCTTCAATTTTTTTTTTTTAAAGAGGGAACACCTTTAGATATAGAATCATGAGCACGAAATTACCAATAAGGATGAGTTCTCTGAGGCAATATAAAGCTTGATAAAGTTTCTGATACTCTTCCTTCCCAATTCCATTCAATCTTTCTCTTGAGTGACTGAAAACTGCGTCGTTCCTCTTCTCTCCGACGTTTTTGCACATATCTGCTGATATAAACTAAAAAGAGAATGCATGAGGTTTGAAAACAAGGGATTTGGGTTTAGGGTATGGTACCAGATAAAGATGAACTGGCCATCTAGGACGACAAAGAGTGGTAAAAATAAAGAAAAAGACGTCATAGATGTATATCTCGATGCCTGCCTATAATCAATGATGAGAAAATTAGATATCAAATAAAATGAGCTAGTGTATCCTGTCAGAAAGAATCTCCAT